ACAGTTAAGTGCTAAAATATAGGGAGAAGCAAAATGCTAGAGATTCTGTGTAAACAGTATCCCTAGAGTCAAAAACTATCAAATGCAAAAGCAAGCCTAGAGATACCCTTTCTTGTGCAGGGCATGAAGGGTACTGACTAAGTGAGGAGTCTTTGGCCTCAAGTTCTGATTTAAGAAAAGAGTAAGAAGCAGTTAAAAAACTATTAACATAGCTAAAGATCAGAAAGGTGGATAACTTGATACTGGGTTGGATGAGTTTATAAAAGTGGAAAGTCAGTAGCAAAGGAGGATTTGTTCCTAAGAGAAATTTTTCTACCTAAAGAGACAAGATAAAGAAAACAAGACCTAATAAAGATGTGTTGAAAACTACGAATAAATAGCTAGGACTACTAGATTAAGGGTTCACTAAACAAAGAGACTTAAATCCTAAAAAAGAGTAGTGAGTGGGGAAGGGGGAATATCCTGAGCCAGCATCAATAACACAAGGAAAAAGTTCAGTAATTTTTTTATGTGGAATTACCCTCGATTCGTTCATTTCAGGGAGAACACTGTATTACTGTTTAAAAATACATATACCTGCACCACATATAGTTTAAACTCCACTATTTCCTCACAGGGTAATAATGCAGCCTCTATCGAGGTGATTCGAGGTCACTACACAATGAGAGGCAATAGAGCAGATTTTTTAAATTAGATTAAATCTATTAAAAAGCAATAGATTAAAATATAGACTCTGGAGCCAGACTACTTTGGGCAAGTTTCTTCATTTCTCTGTGCTTCAGTTTCTTCGCGCGCAAATGAAGATAGACATTTTGTAGGCTGTCGGACGGTGTGAGAGTTGAACAGTTAGTCCGCGTACACCAGCTAGGATGAAGCCCAGCACAGAGTGCTACGGCAGCATTACCACGGTGCTGCCGCCGCTAACGCCCATCACCAGCACTGCTACCACTTGAGGTAAGCGGTCAACAAAATATGAAAGAGAAAGCTAGAGTACCAAAGCCACTGCCTGAAAAACCCAGAGAGGAGGCATCGGCAACTTTGTACTGAGGAAGGGTTACTTTTCAGTTCCCTGAAGCCCTGAACCACTCTGGGGAACACAGAGGCAGTGTGGTAACAGTAATTCTGCTGCTGGAACTGAGGACAGGCCATGGCTGCTGGCTCTACTTCACTGACTGCTGGGAAGCATGAAAGACAGCAAAGGGAAGAGTGACAACAGCAAGTCCCTTGGAAATCTACCAGGAAGAGTATTAAGATCTAAATGTTGGCACTTCACTCTTGGATAGTTGCAGCAAAGTTATTAGGGAAGTTGCCCTGCCAGGGAACATCCGTGAAAATATGGGCCAACCAGTCTGTGAGACACCATCAGAAGCAGTTCTACTAACACGAGGGAACACAATAGGGAAACACAACCAACCACCCTCATGGCAATTTTTTTAACTTGTGGGACCCTTCATATGAAACTATTTCCCAGTGTTCTAAAATGCACCGTTTTCAAAAAATCAATGTAAGGGTGCCTGGGTGGCTCAGTTGGTTAAGCGACTGCCTTCGGCTCAGGTCATGATCCTGGAGTCCCGGGATCGAGTCCCACATCGGGCTCCCTGCTCAGTGGGGAGTCTGCTTCTCCCTCTGACCCTCTTCCCTCTCATGCTCTCTCTCATTCTCTCTCGCTCAAATAAATAAATAAAATCTTTAAAAAAAAAAAATCAATGTAATGCCTTTGAAACAAGTCCAAATAGCCATTGGTCAAATGAAGATCATCCCTTTACCAGAGCTAGCTATATTAAATTATATTTCAACAACTAATACCATTTCAAAACACCAACTAAAACTTAAATAATAATTTCTCTCTGAAGATATTTATGAAGGAAGCTACACAAGACAAATGAAAGAATTTAGAACCTCTCTATTAGAAAGTGAACAAGAGAAACACATCAAATATCTTAACGTAGTATCATCAATCTTAGCATAAACCACATTTATCCTGAGCATGGTATTTTCTATTGGATCAAACAGATATTCTTCAAAAAATAAACCAACAGGGGTACCTGGGTGGCTCAGCTGGTTAAGTGTCTGCTTTGGGCTCAGGTCATGATCTCAGGGTCCTGGGGTCAAGCCCTCTCCTTCTGCCCCTCCCTCCCCACTCATGTGCACTCTCTCTCTCTCAAATAAATAAAATCTAAAAAAATTAAAAATAAACTAATATTCTGAGAAATGTAGAGAACATTTTCATTTACTTCCCAACATCTATTCCTTGCATGTTGTTTATTAATAATCAATCATAATAATCTTGCCATTCACCTCTCTACCACTACCCTACCAATGATTATTTTAGGAATGTTTAAGCCCATGCCAACTTAGGCCATTGGGATCCAATGTTCTGGAAGATTCTGGGGAAAGGTATTTTTCTGGCTCTAAGCAGAGTGCCATGAAAAGCCAGTGTCTGTCACCCCCAAGGTCATAAAAGAGAAAGTAGAGTTCTAACTTCACTGCCATCCTAGAACCACAAGGAATCTAAATCTTCCAATGACTCCAATTACTATGAGTGGCAGAGCTGTGATGCAGAAAGAACCTGGATCTTTGATGACCTACTTCTAGACTTCCTCTTATATAAACTATTAAGTTCCCTCATTACTTAAATTGGTTTTATATTTGTGCCCCCAAACACCCTAATTTACACATTTTGTTTTCCAGGTTTATTACTATATAAGAATGTCATCCATGTTCATTTGAATGTTAGCAAAAACAAAAAACTATCCTACTTTAAACAAACTGATACACATTTCAGACTCATTAAAATAAACAGGTTTTGGGGCACCTGGGTGGCTCAGTCGTTAAGCGTTTGCCTTCGGCTCAGGTCATGATCCCAGGGACATGGGATCGAGCCCCACATCGGGCTCCCTGCTCAGCAGGAAGCCTGCTTCTCCCTCTCTCACTCCCCCTGCTTGTGTTCACTCTCTCACTGTGTCTCTCTCTGTCAAATAAATAAATAAAATCTTTAAAAAAAATAATAAAATAAAATAAACAGGTTTTATTGACAGGAATATTCCAATAACTCTCTTTAATAATTTCTGGACTGTTTCCCTTTAATATTTATCAATAAAGTAGAAAATTAATAAAAACATTTAGAAACATAAAACTCTCAATTTGACATAAAATTTAAAGCTCAAAAAGGTATAACTTGTTAGACCCTAAAATATTAGTCATATTTATACTACTTAAGTCACAACGAAAAGAAGAAAAGTTGTTTATGCTTTTATACAGTTGACTTTAGCTTTATTAAATATCTTTAGAATTTGCTGCCCGTGAGTCATATTAATGGAATACATGGGTAGAATGGATTAATTGCAACCTATAAAGAGGCTGAAGTGTTTAACCATTTGTTATATTCCCAACTTCACCATGCTGGATAAACTACTAAAATACACATGAAGATGTTTCTAATGAGTAGTAATTTAACCAATAACAATGGCAAAAAGGCAAGAAAGGAATAAAAGAAGGACAAAAGCAGAAGATAAAAACTGGAATAACTAGTTCCTAAAAATGGAAAAGGGCAAAGGGAGGAAGGAAGGAGTAAAACACTCAGAATTCTTTATGGATAGGTCCCAATCTGACACATGTACAGATCGTGTGTTATATAAGGTAGATTGATGCTTGTATCAAAATCGCTTTAGCATGCATTTAAAATTACAGAGAAATCGTGTTTTCTAAAGGAATTTAGCTTGTTTTACAAACACATCAGGTGAGCATTAATTCACCCACCTTCACTAACGTTATGGTATAGGTATTCTGAAGAATTATTCATACCATAAATACACGAAAGAATAGATTTAAATTGGAGCTGAAAAAATAATGTATCTATTTGAGTCTTCAAAGAGAACTTGGCTGTGCCTGGAAAGAATGTAAATAGACCACCTTTGACACAGATAGGACAACAAAAGATAACCTTTTTAATTGGAAAAGGCTCCCTACAACCTAGGATCACTCCCTGCCTGGGGACAAACCTGATCACAGCTATAGTTCAAACAGGCCAGAAATACAGCAGGCAGGGCTGGTGGAGTCAGGAACATGTGTGACTTCCTACCTAAAATTAGCCATGCCCATTTCACCACAAGCTGGGTTGGGCTCCTCTATTTTAAGGTGTGCAGCTCCAAATTGCTTAAGAGCATATAATTGCTGGCCAGTTTCCGGAGCTAAGAGTGTCAGCCGACTTTCCACCAAGTCTTTAGAATGGACAACTTTGTCTCCTCAAAATCCCACACTTAATCGCCAAGTTATCTAGCATCGAAGTACATGGCAAGTGAAATCACACACTGGATATACCGAAAACATATCACACAAGGACACATCAAAAAGGAAATAAGCAAGAAGAGACAGCCCTTATTCCCTTCCACTACACCTCCCCCTGATGCACACATATTATATATGACAAAAGTGGGGGGGAGGGACTGACAAAAGTGTCCTCGTCTTTGCAGGAAATTATATAGAACTGACAGTTGAAACCCTTCCAAGCAATGTCACACCATTACTTACCTCCCTCTGAAAGTGCTTTGCTACTGGAGTAAATCCAGCAGAAGGGGCTATTCAGTCTGCTTTCTGCATTCTGGAAACATTAGAATTGGTGTGGCTTCATTGTACGGGCAAGAGATTTTCACTAATGTTTAAAAAAGGAACTAAGTTTTCAAAGACAAATGAAAGAAAATGAAAAGGTGTTCACCACCACCAAAACGATCGATCACTCTACCAACAAATGATAAAGCTGAGTTCTAAGTTATATGGCCTTAACGTACACCTGAAATTTAAGCTGCACAGATAACATTCATGGTTTCTACAATCTCACGGCAAAAACCTAACATCTACTTTACTAACAGCACCTTGACACACTAGATGCAGAATATACATTTAGTACCATTATCCTGATACTATCATGTTCTAGCAGTCTACAACACTAACACTTGTTTTGATAGACTCAGTTATTTTAAGAATGAACAAAACATACATACCTTCATTTTCAGAGGCATGACATTTCACTTTCAATACCAAGTCAAAGGTTCTTTCTGGATTTTCCCTAAAAGAAAAAGAACTTTGTTTTATTTATTTCCTGTGACAAATAAGCATCTCTGCAGAGTTTATATTTTCTTAACTCAAAAAACTAATCATCTTCTTGTTGCAATGGATTCTATGTAACTATGTAACTATATGAGCACAATGTAGAAAATAACAAAGTTTTTTCCCAGTTCAGTAATGTAAGAGGCTTAGGAGTTCTGAGACCCGGGGCCTATTTTCTCACCTATAAAGTGCCTTGCTCACTTCAAAGAATAGTTGTGAGGATTATAAATCAACTAATTTATGTGGAAGTACTTTTTAAAGTATGAAGTGCTTTATAAATGTGAAGCATTGACTTTATCTTATTGAATCAAAATTGGGAAAGTCAGTATGCTCCTAAGTATTTCTACCTTTTCCTGCCAACAAAGCTGGCCAGCAGGTTCTCAGGCTTTTTTTAAAAGGACTTGCAGTATAAGTGTAAATGATAACTACCTGGTTCCACCTGCCACATTCTAGACCACCATAAAACAGTTATAATGCTCCTAAATTTGACACTTCACATATGCTTCTCTTGAAATGTAATTACTACAAAGCATGTTTAAAGTAGCAAACTGTACATGAACTGCAAGGCTAACAAGAACAACAACAAAAACCTTGTTTTACTTCAATTATCTTTAGGGAAATTGGAAAAAGACATCTACCTTAATACTAGATTTTCCCACTAGGTACAGTAAGATTGCTTTGCTTCATTCAGAAGTTATCCACTTCTTTGTTAACTTCTCACACATTCAACCAATTCATTGGTTTAATTTCAAAGAGCAAACTGAAATCTACTGAGACACATTTTCTTTAACAGTTTTGTTTTAATCTCTTTCTGCTAGAAGATAAAAGATGAAGCAAAATCTGATACCACAATGTCCACGTGACCAAAGTGTTAATCTATCTGTTATTCCTGCGAAGGAGACCTTAGTGTCTTTGCATATTGGCTATTTTAAATATCTACTTCCTTTAATAAAGAATGCCAGTTTGGGCTTCTAAATAAACACTTGTTTTTTCTAAATTTATTACAAGAATCTAGAATCACAGGAAGTGACAAGCTATATAAATTAATTTGCAAATATACATTTCCTCAGCCCTCCAACTACTAACTTGTTTCAATGGAAATAATATGGATTTGGGTGACCTCCTCCCTCCTAATCCAATTAATGTCAAAAAGTATACTTTTTAAATCACTTACCCTGCCCCACATGTCAAACACTGAAGAAAATAATAATTTTCCCATTTTCCTAATATTTTTTAGAATCTCTTAGGTGTAAAAATTAAAAATTGATTCAATTATACTGTGAAATTTTACAAACCTTTCACAGTAATACAAATATACATAGTATTCCTTATTTTAAACTGGGGGAGTGGTGTGAAGAGGGAGTAAGGGAAGAAGAAATTCTTTGTAAAGGAAGTTTCAAGAAAAAAAAAAAAACATAAAACTCATACCTCTAAGACCCAAAACAAAATCACCACACTTCCTCAAATTGCTTTTTACATGATTAAGCTCCTGATGAAAAATATCCATTGATACAGACACATAAAAACACTATCTAATTGGATACCATTTTGCAAGCACCCCGCATACACCCAGTGCCTATGTAAGTAAATACCTATCAGAGGCCAATTTAATTTTATAAGAAAAACTGGAAGAAAACATCTGGGAAACTGATAACTACCTTAAAAATGAAATGGTTATCTTCACGTTAGGGAAATACTTTAAGTAATAACCGCTTAACCTCAACGCTGACGCCCTCCGGGTCACCAGCAAGACACAGACAACCGACAGTCACGTCTGCCACACTCCGGGAGGAACAAGAAACCCACAGCGGGTGGTGGCAGGAGTCGCCAGGCCTCCTCCACCACCCAGAGATGCGGGCGTCGACGCGGCGCTCCCGGCCGCTCCCGGAGGAGCGGCGCCGACCCCGCCGGGCCGGGGACTCGGGGCCGGGCAGGCTTTGCGGCCTAGCGCTGTCCCGCCGGCCGGCCGCGCACGGGGGGCCGGGCCAAAGTCGCCGTCTGGGGGGCCGGCCGCCGCGGGACGCCCCCACCTCCCGCCCGCCCGCCCGCCCGCGACCCCCACTCACTTGGTCCTGCAGTCCATGGTTACATGTCGGTGTGAGGCTGTCCGTCCCGCCCCCGCGCCGGCCTGGAAGCCCACTGCCCCGCGCTGGGAGGGTCGCGCCGCCCCCGCCCACGCTGGCCGCCCCGCGGGGAAGGAGGCTACTCACAGCGGCGGCGGCGGCGGGCCCATGTCGCCTGCGCCCCCGGCGCTTCCCCGCCTCCCACCCCACCCCCCAGAGCCTTTTTGTGACAGCAGCAGCAACAGCGGTGGCGCGGCCGCCGCCCCCGTCTTCGCCGGCCGCCGCCCCCGCCGCCTCCGAGGCTGGGGCCTCTCAGTTCCTGCGACCGGGGCCGCCCGCAGCGGCTCCTGCACCTTCTGCAAACCAGGAAGTCGCCGGGAGGGGGGAAGGGGCGCGCGGGGGCGCGCCCGGCGGCCTCACCTGGGCCGCGCGGCCCGCGGGCCCGGAACCTGAGGAGGAGGCTGGGCGGGGTGCCCGCTCCCGGAGTGGCCGGAGGGTCGCGGGGAGCCCAAGTGTCTGCCGGGATGGCCCACGTACCGCTTTGTAACTGAGCCAGAAACGCAAGGTGCCCCCTGTGTCCTCAGCCCTGGACCAGCCTACTTCCTTTCTGGGTCCAGTCCAGGCGCCAGGGCTACAACCCACCCAAAAAGCAAAGTAATTGAAATAGTACCTCGATTTGCAGTCTTTTCCACACCATATGCACACGGAATTGGATCGCTAATTAATAGGTATTGTTTGTTAGAACCCCTTCGTCGTTTTGGGGCATTTCATTTCGCTTCAGACTGCACTTTCGGAGCTCAAGTTGATGCTCCTGGCTCCTGCCTCACTCCGGCTGTGGCCTGGTTACTGCTCTCTGAAATCCAGAGCTGCCCCCCTCCTGATTCAGGAATGTTCAGACATGTGCACCTGCTAAATAGCCTTGTCAAGTAGCAAAATGGTAGTGCTCCACTTGCCGGCACATATGGAAGCCAGACGTTCTTATATATACCACAGGACCGCAGCACGCCAAAGACTGACTTCCGACACATTCTCCAAGCGGCAGGCCTCATAGAACTGTGCAGCCCAGGAAGCTCAGGGAGGGCACAACTGAGGGCAAGAGGGGCCAGTATAAAAAGCTAAAATTTACAGGGCACTCAAGTCCCTTTTAAGCAGGTTATATGCATTGTCACAGTACTTGCCATAACTCTATGTGATAGATACTTGCATCAGCATTTTATGGATGAAGAAACAGGCCAAGCTAATCCAGTGGGTGATGGCAGAGCTGGATTTTAGAACAGGTCTACTTGATGCTGATAATTTACTTCTACCACGTACTGCCTCTCCGCGTTCTACTGCCTTATATCTAGGTTCTACTGAGAAGAGATGTAGAAAAAGTCTTGATTGTCCAGGACTGGACTCTTACACAGAGATCTTCGGGAGAAGGCTTCTCCCGCTAACGTTCCCACACTTGACACATGGCCACAGTGTTTTTCAGCCACATAGGGGTTGCTTCAGACTTTATTCATGCAAAAGATAAGATGATGAGAGGAAACTAAATGTGGTATGAATAGAGTATGAGTCATGAGACATAAAAGTCATACAAGGAGTCTTGGGAATTAAAGAATTTAGAAGCAAAAACCTAACATTAAATTCAGTTACGCAGATCTTAAATGTTCTTGCCAAAGGTAGGTGTTACTTGGTCAACAAAATGAAATATATTTTGTAGACACAGACCTGATAGTTAAAAATAAGGTCAGGACATAATAGGGAAACAAAAATATTAGATTTAAGCATGATATGTGCTGTCATAGCTTGACTTGGGGTGAGACACTTCAGTTTCTCGGTTCCTCCATTTGTAAAATGGGAATTATTACTTGTATATCACATGAGCAATGTGATATTCGAGTTAAAAAGTACTACACATTTGTGTGATCTTTTAGGAAATTATTCTGTGGATTTCGGTTTCACAATTAGGCAGTCTATACCACATAAATTTTTTCTCAAATGAAGCTTTTTTCTACCTAAGAACTTACCATAGTCCAAAGCCTTGAAAAAAAACTCTGTAAACTAAAAACCACTTCTGCTCCAAGTGTTACTAAATTTCTCAAACTTCTCCTTTCATTATAATTAACTCTTTTCCCAAGAAAAGGAAACCTACCTGGGATGCCTACATCAGGAGTATTTGTTAGTATTAAGAAAATATTAATACAATTGTTTTCCCTCTCCATTTGTTGGGATTTAAGTGACAGTCATACCCCTGCATAATATATAATGTTATTTTTTAAATTTATCTTAAGTATATGAAGGGAAAACACTGCATATGTGCACACAAAGCAAATCTTTTTAAACCAGCTCTTAGGCTGACCGTGATGAGGAGATTTATTTATCTGTTCTGATATTACTGAGTTAAAAGGGATAGGAACACAGAAGGACACAATTTGCATGATTTGTTAAAAATTACTAAAAAAGGAAATTTTTGTACATTTATTTTGGTGATATGTTTAATGAAGCCAGTAGTATAATTTTAGCAATGCTCATTTCATATGGAACTTCTGATATGAACGATAGAGAAGTGTGCAAAGGGCAAGCCTTCAAGTTGGTATATCTTCACAAGATCATATTTCAGCAATAATATTTCTTATTTGACAGTTGATACTAACATTTTTCAGGACTACGGTAGTCAAAGAACATGGTCTCTATTGTTGCCAAAGAACATAGTCTATAAACTATTAGTCTTTTTTCAATGTTTTAAGCTCATTTTAAATTTTTGGCATGTGTTTATAAAGAGTGTGTGTTCAGTAGGTCTTGGGCAAGGTGTTCTAAAATATGTCCTTGATCAGAACTTGCCTGTGGTTTTGCCATAGCTTGCTTGCCCCAAATTGCAATTATCTGTTATTCCCAAATAAACCCATTTTTTGCCAGAAAAATAACTGTAAGTTTTATTTCTAAGGTTAACATTATTTTGGTGATCAGAAATGGGATCCAGAGAAGACCCCCAGCAACTCTGATGCTGGTGAGCAAACAGATGCCACAGAGTGGATTGGGTCCATTGCTTTCTTGCCAACCCTGGAGTTTGAGGGTAAAATTTTTCCTAGATTTAGAGTTCCATTCTCTTTGTGTTTGAGCTTGCCAGGCTTTATTCAGGTTGTATTTTTAAGGCCTATCCTTTCTGAGAGTACTTGTTTTTCTTTGGTCTTACTCCTTTTTCAGAACCAGATTGTTTCTAGTGGAACTGTGCCTGTTAGAAGTGTGTTGGCCTTCAATCCAATTCCTTTTCAGAACCAGACTGTTCCTGGTGGAACTGTGATGGGGATGTTCCTGTTGAAACTGTGCTGTTAAGGAATTTTTCTCTTTGCTCTAGGAAAACCTCTATAAAATGGAATCCCACTCATCAAAAATGCTTCGCAAGTAGTGGGTCCACCCACTACTGGGACCCTAGTGGTTTTATGTTTAAAAACTATGGTCCCTCTTCAGTGCATTTCTAACCTAAATGGATCAACTTAACCAAAAGTAATTTAGAACTTCAGTGGCCACGATGGGGAATTTCAATCTCCCCAAACTTAACTTGTTTTTCTTAAAATTAAATTAGAAAGCTGCAGCTCCGAAGAAAAACAAAACACAACAGCAAACAAAAGGGCTTGATCAAGTATTATGATTGTGTTATTGATATTTTCTATTACTATGATTGTGTTATTGATATCTTGTATTACTGAATTTGCATCTGCTTGGCAATTCATTCATGGGAGAGATGATTTAAAATTTCCTAATATGAAACAAACTGAGGGTTGCTGGAGTGGTGGGGGTGGGAGGGATGGGGTGGCTGGGTGATAGACACTGGGGAGGGTATGTGCTATGGTGAGCGCTGTGAATTGTGCAAGACGGTTGAATCACAGATCTGTACTTCTGCAACAAATAATGCAATATATGTTAAGAAAAAAAGAAGAAGAAGAAGATAGCAGGAGGGGAAGAATGAAGGGGGGCAAATCAGAGGGGGAGACGAACCATGAGAGACGATGGACTCTGAAAAACAAACTGAGGGTTCTAGAGGGGAGGGGGGTGGGGGGATGGGTTAGCCTGGTGATGGGTATTAAAGAGGGCACGTTCTGCATGGAGCACTGGGTGTTATACCCAAACAATGAATCATGGAACACTACATCCAAAACTAAGGATGTAATGTATGGTGATTAACATAACAATAAAAAAATTTAAAAAAATTTCCTAATATGATGGCAGATTTGTCTATCTCATCTTATAGTTCTGTCAATTTTTGATTTATGTAGTTGGGGTCTGTGTTATCAGAAGCAGAGCAGTTTATAATTATTTTATTTGCCTGGCAAATTTATCATTATGTTGTGACTTTCTTTAACTCTAGTTATTCTTTTGCTTTAGCATTTAAATGGCTTTCTTCTGATTAGTATTTGCCTAGAATTGGTATAACTCTTTTCACTCTATTACATTAAAACTTTCTAAGTCATTACATTTCAGATTTATCTAGCTAGTGTTAATTTTGACTTTTAGTATGGTCTAATAATCTTTGACTCTTAGATCAAATATTTAGATCATTTCATGTTTTATAATTGCTGATATATTTGAATGTATTTGTCATCTAATGTTGTGCTCCCCATTTGTTTTCTTCTGATCTATGTGTTTGGGTTTTTTTTTTTTTCTTTCACCATTGCCTTCTTTGGGATTATTGACTGTTTTTATGCTGCCACTTCTCCTCCTAGATTCTAGTTGGGAAGTTATATACTCTATTCCTGTTTATTTAGTGGTTATCCTAGAAATTTTAACAGGTAAATTTTAACTGATTAAATTTAGAATTTATCAATCTATCAACCTTCTCCCAGGCAGCACAAGGACCTTTAAAATACTTTTAAAAATGACTTTCATCAGTCCTGGAAAATTCTGACCTCCATTCTTTCTCCCCTTTCCTTCTGGGACTCTTACTATATACACATTCTCATTTACCCTCTGTATGTCTTAACATTTCTTTTATAGTTTCTTTTTTTTTTTTTTAATTTTCCTAGGCTGAATTCTGGATAATTTTGCAGATATCTTTCTGTTCATTAATTCTTTCTCTGGCTGTTAAATCTTCTGTTAAAGCTATCCATTTAGTTTTTAATGTACATTATTTT